TTCTTTCCATTTAGTCTTTGCTATTTTAATTATGATGTGTCTAGTGTGGGCTGCTTTGGGTCTATCTTGTTTGGAACTCTGTATGCTTCCTGGACATGTGTGTCTTTTTCCTTAACTAGGTTAGGGATGTTTTCAGCCATTATTTCTCAAATAGGTTCCTTACTCTTTCTCTTCTTCTGGTACTCCTATGATGTGGATGTGTCTTGCTTCATGTTGTCCAAAAGGCCCATTAAACTATCTTTTTTTTTTTTTCTTCTGGTCTTATTGGGTGTTTTTCTCAACTTTGACTTCCAAATCACTGATTCCATACTCCCCTTCATCCTATCTATGTTTATTCCTGCCAGTGTTTATTTTTGTTGTTGTGGTTAATCATCACCTGAGGATATTTTTCACAGTGATTTGTAGAGAGAGCAAAAGGGAGGGAGGGAGGGGGAGAGAGAGAAAAAAAAAACATCAATGAGAGACACAGCAATTTGTTGCCTCTACATGTGCCCGGCTGAGGCTGGGGATTGAACCTGCAACCCAGGTAGGTGTCTCTGACTGGGAATCGAACCCATGACCCTTCAGTGCATGGGCCAATGCTTCAACCACTGAGCCACATCAACCAGAGTCTGCCAGTGTAGTCTTTATTTCAAAGATTGCATTCTTCATTTCTGACTGGCCTTTCTTTATGGCTTCTATGTCCTTTTTCATTCTGTTGAGCATCCTTATAATCATTACTTTGAACTCTATATCTGATAAATTGCTTGCCTCCATTTCATTTAGCTCTTCTTCTGGAGAATCCTTTGTTTTTCAATTAGGGCATGATTGTGTCCCCATTTTGGCTGCCTCTTTGTGTTTGTTTCTATGTATTAGATCTGCTTTCTCCTGGCTCATAGGTCAACGCTCAAGCATTGGACCACTTTTATTTTTTTAACTATGTAACTCTCTGTTACATAGTAAATCTTGGTAGAGTGACCTTATGCAGTAGGTATTCTTGTGGGACTCAGTGGCACAGCCATTATGCTCACCTGACTGGGTACTTTATGAATGTTTCTTGAGCACATTATGTGGATCCTCTTTTGTAATTGAGTCTTGATTTCTATTGGCCCATTCATGTGTGGGATTGACCCTCAGGCTGGCTAACAGTGAGGCTCAACCAACACAGCATGCAAGCTGCTGATCACATGAAACAAAATTCGTTTCAGCAGCGTTTGGTTTTGGCCTAGATTTCCCTGTGGATATGCTGCTTTGTGAACCTTATTGGATCCTGCTATATTGTCTGAAGTTGGCCACTGCTTGTATTTGTTCTGGGCCTTTTTGGAGCAACTCCATTGCAGAGCTATATCAGACACTGCCTGTGTCTTGCCCTGGGCAACCTATTTGGAGTAATCTGCAATGTGCAGCTTGTGGATCCTTCTGCTGGGCCTGGGTGCATATGGAAAGGACCAAGCTGCACACCATGGTCAGCTTTTACCAGCACCACGGGCAAGTCAACAAAAGTCTCAAGCACCTAGAAGTCCGCCTCTGACTGCAGGTTCCTATTAGGCTTAATTACTGAAAGAGCCTGTACCTGTACTCCTCAACCATTGAGCCACACTGGCCGGGGTGCATTTGTTTTCTGTTTCCCCTGATTTGTGACCTTTTATCTCTTCTTGTTTTTCAAGACCATGAAACGTTCAGGCATTTTGTACAATGTCCCTCTATTTGGTTTGTTTGTTCTCATGATTAGACTGAGATTATGGGTTTGGGGGAAGAATACAGTGGTGAAATGCCCTCATCACATAGTTGGGGTACAAGACATCCACATGTATTACTGGTGATATTAACCTCAATCACTTGGTTGAGAATGAAGTGGTGACATTAACCTTGATCACTTGGTTAAGTGCAAAGTTCAGTACTGGCTCTACAATAAGGCAGGGTTGATGGTAGATACAGCTGTTGTAAAACTAGGTTTGCTGATAGCAATGGAGATAAAATTTTAGCTCCTGTAGCAATAAAAGCCAGATGGACACCATGATCACAATGTGCATCAGGACTGGAATGGCAGCTAAGGAGACTAAACCAAGTTACGGCTATGGCTAATAGAACACAGCACATTTCAGGGAACATAGACAGGAAGCCAGATATGATGCTATTCAGCATTCATCATCAGAATACCAGTGATGGAAGACAAAGACGTTAAGGGGAATTACCCTAATTTATTTTCATTATTATTTTAAAAGTGTTTTTATTGATTTTTAGAGGGGGAGGAAGAAAGAGGGATAGAAACATCAATGAGAGCAACATCACCAATTGCTTACTAGGGATCGAGCCTGCAACCCAGGCACGTGCCCTGACGGTGAATCTAACTGGTAACTTCTTGGCTCCTTGGTTGAGTCAACCGCTGAGCCACATTGGCTGGGCAAGTTGCCCTAATTTAAAAAGTCATGACCCCGTGCTGTGACCCAAGTCAGTTTTTCAACTCAGAGCATACCGAATGAAGAGGTTGGGTACCCAGGAGGAAGTTCCTTGCAAAACAGCAAGTACAGACTAAAACATTCACCCATCCTGTGCCCAAAGTAATTATGGCCTTTTACTCAAGTAACTATACATTGAAGGGGACTAACCAAATAATCTGGGGGAGGGCCATTGGACACGGGGTCTAAGGCAATATTGATACCCCAAGATCTGAAGTATCATCATGAGGGGAGGATGTGGAGATATAGTAAACAGAGTGCTGGCCAAGTTATAAATGTATGTAATAAGTGGTCACATTAAAGTGCATATGCTCTGTGGACCCATCTGGTGTCATTTCTGTCTCTGTATGTATAACCAGAATTGGCATACTTAATAACTGTCATGACTCCACACATACATCTTTAGCCTGTGGGATACAGGTTATCAAGAAGCCTCTACAACTGCTATACTGTCCTTTCTCACACTGCCAGCAAAGAGTAAATGTGCTTATCACATGACAAGAGGAACAAAAGCAATTCACATGTAGCAGACAACACATGTATAATTTTGGCCCAGAGCCATGTTAACTCTGTCATAATAGTGTGAAGAAATCTGGCTATCTGGTCATCCCACAGAACACCACATTGAAATGGTTTAAATTACTGAGCCAGAAGTGACTAGCACATTGGAGGCCCTGGTAATGTTAGCAGAGTGGGAAGTAAACCTTAAGATTCTATTTAAACTTAAGAAAAAAAATGACTTGGAGGTTCATAAAGTCACCAAATCAAGGGAGAAAATGCACAACTAACTGGTGACCATTGGAAGATGATGAAGCAACTATTTTGAAACTCGCAAATAAAGAGAAAGAATCAAGCATTTATCCAATTTTTCCTCTATAACAGTGGTTCCCAAACTTATTTGGCCTACCGCCCCCTTTCCAGAAAAAATATTACTCAGCCCCTGGAAATTAATTTTTTAAAAATTTTAATAGCAGTTACTCATCGCCCCCAAATGCACCTGTGGCCATCACCGCCCCCCCTGGATTGCTGCAGCGCCCACCGGGGGGCGGTAGCGCCCACTTTGGGAATCACTGCTCTATAAGCCACACCATCAAGTAGCCAAATAGTGGATGAGGGCAAGTTTCTAACAATGAAGGAATGATAGAACTGAAATACTGCCATTCTTCAGTCTTTAATAAATTGATGGATTAGGCATTCTGTAACATAAATGGTGGCTAATAATCCAATGACAGTTAGATATTATGTACCACCTGATGGAAGAATACCACCACCTATGAGGTAATACTGGCCCCCTCCAACAAAACAAAATCATGAATGATTAAATCTGATTCCAAAGGCAAATTTACAAGAAATACCATAAGGAAGAGGAGTATGTTAAATGATATCAAAGGTATGAAATCAACAAAATCTGGTAAACTCTGCAGGACAAATAACCTTGTTTTCTTCATAAATTAATTTCAAGGCAAAAAGTAAAAAATTGATGGAGGGGAACTATAATGTTAGATCCAATGTTTTAAATTGGATCATGATTCAAACACTGTTTACAAAAAATTAAGTATTTAGAAAAATTATTTTTTTGTGATAATGGTATTTCACTGTTTTAAGAAATATGTATTTATTTATAAACTAGAGGCCCAGTGAACAAAATTCGTGTGGGTGGGTGAGTGAAGATGTCCCTCAGTCCAGCCTGCACCCTCTCCAATCCGGGACCCCTTGAGGTATGTCCGACTGCTGGTTGGATCAGACCTAAACCGGCAGTCGGACATCCCTCTCACAAGGACTACTGGCTCCTAATCGCTCCCCTGCCTGGTTTCCCCCAACTGCTCTCCCAACCGTCCCCCCACCCCCCTGCTGGCCTGGTCACCCCTCACAGCTCCCCTGCCGGCTTGGTCCTCCCACGCAGCCTGCTGTTCAGTCGTTTGGTCGTCCCTCACTAACCCCCCTGCCGGCCTGGTTGTAGGCAGCCACCTTGTGAGGGTTAATTTGCATATTACCTCTTTATTATATGATAAAAGTGTATGATACCTGGGATTGGTTCAAAATAATATGGGGTGTGTGCACAAGAGTGGGGTTAAAAATGAAACAAGATTGGCCATGAGTTGATAACTGTTGAAACTGATAGGTACTTGGAGCTTCATTATTTACTGTCCACTTTCATATATGGTTAAAAATTTCCATAGTAAATAATTTTAAAAGATAAAAAAAAAGTCCTAATCACTGCTAGAATTTAGGAAGTTTTAAAGTTTTTTCCAGCTAGATATGAATGACCATTGAAGAATGACCATTGAAGAATGACTTTAGTGCTTCTGATGTTAATAAGTCAGGTTCAGATGAACAGAATAAACTACAATAAAGTAATATAATGAGACTGTCAATTCATTTCTAGCTCTCAATTCATTTTTAGCTCTCCAGCATACTTATTTAATGCTTGCTGTCCAAAGAATATGCAATGCATTAGGAAGCAAAATATACCAATGTGACATATTAGTCATTATTCTGTCAAGACCGAAGGCCAAACTCAACCTAATACTTCATCAAGTAAGTTTTAAAAAAGTCATTACATTTCAAAAAATTTTTCCTCTTTATTTAAACATAAAACACATTTACAGCATGCAGGTTAAAAAAAAAAAAGGAAAATTATATGGCATCTTCCCAAATCAATTATCTTCAAATGTATCTTCAAACACTGAGAATAAACCAATATATTCCACAGGTAAACTCAGACTCTTCTATCGCCTTGTGTCAAATTGAGTTATGCACAGTAGTTTTCTTAAGTTAGGCAAATAATTTAATTGCTTATCATGAATAAATATTACTTTTACTTTACTGAGTTACTCTTCTGAACCATTTATCAATACCACTCAGAGGAACGTTAATATATTGAGAACAAAACAGAACAACACACTGCAAATTCAAGTGTCAATGTTTTAGATGATCAGAAATTTTCATTTAGAAGAGTAAACACTATGTCTAATAACCTATAGCAAAAAGAGGAGTTCACTGAAACAAATTTATGAAATTCTCTGTACACTGCTGTGAAAGTTTGAAATTATAAATAAAAAATTCAGGTGTTTTTAAAAACCTAACGTATATTCTGAACCACATGCTAGCTATAATTCAGTTACACAGCTCCAATACCCGTGATTCATGTAACAAGAATGAAATTCCCATATTCAGACAAAAGAGGAAAAAAATTCTGCTTCATTGATGAATATTGCCAAAGAAGCAAGTTTTCATTTGAAAACAAAATAAAGTTAACTGCATTACTTTAATCTTGCTGCAATGTTTCATGTCAATTTTTGGAGTGTTTCTTCTGATCAATCCTAAAAGGAACACAATCATTTTAAAGGATGCAGACTACAACAGCAAAAATTTTTTACTATTAAAAAAATAAATAAATTTACCCTTTAAGTCAAAATTATATAAAAGTGGAAATTACAATAGTTAAGGAAATAGAAAAATAAGCCAATTATGATCTGAGTTTTCTGACTATGATCCAAATTTATTACAAATATCTATATATAAAACTTCTTCAGAAAGTAAATTCTGCCAGCCAGATCCTAACACAGAACTTCTCAAGTTTCTCTGCTGACTGAAACCATTATATCCCCATTCTAGGCAAATTTCTGCTAAAACAGTTGGGAGTCACCACCTCATTGATGAAGCAAATATTGAAATCTCCTTCCCTGTTACTTTTATAGCTCCCTAAAATAAACTGTTGACTTAGTTTTATCAACTTAGGAAAGGGTGGCAAAACAGGTACATTTAGTACTCATTTTAAAATTATGGGATAAAACCAACAAAATAATTTATTTGAGGTTAGTGACTTGCAAACAATTTACTATTTCCAGGGTAAGATATAAATTATAGTGTATGAATTAGTGAAGGAGGTTAAAAGTACTTCAAGAACTTGAAACCAAAAATTACCTAAATATTTATAAACTTACAATATATTTATCTGGTTCTTCCACTTTTTTCTAAACTTCCAGTCTATAAACTTAAATCAGCCAATACAGTAGATAATATAAAATTTAATTATATATCTCAATTCATTTCAGTGTATTAAGTGGACAAATTAATATTTGTTCAATTTTAATATTAACTATTAAGCTCACTGAAATGAAGCGGGGTGTTCATCTCCCCCTCCTCCAATTTTCCCTATGACATTCATTAGTCTGTTCCTTGTTTACATGCCTCTGGTTCTATTTTATTCATCAGTTTATTATGTTCATTAAATTCCACATATAAGTGAGATCATATGGTACTTGTCTTTCTCTGACTGGCTTTTTCTACTTAGCATAATCATCTTCAGGTTCCTCCATGCTGTCTCAAACAGTAATATAGATGTGTGGTGTTTTTTTTTACAACTGCATAGTATTGCACTGTGTAAATGTACCACAGCTTTTTTTCAACTGGTCTACTGATGGGCACCTGGGCTGTTGTCAATTGCGCTGCTATGAACATAAAGGCGCACATATTCTTTTTGACTGGTGCTTTGGGATTTGTAGTATATTCCTAGAATCACTGGGTCAAATGGTAGCTCCATTTTTAACTTTAGGAAACTGCACAGTTTTCAATAGTGGCTGCACCAGTCTGCATTCCCACCAGCAGTGTTCCGGGGTTCATTTTCCTCCACATCCTCACCAGCTCTTGTTACTGACTTAATGGTGGTAGCCATTCTGGCAGGTGTGAGAAGGTACATCTTTGTAGTTTTAATTTGCATCTCTCATTAGTGACACTGTTCTTTGATTCATGTTTGGTGGCCAGCTGTGTGGCCACTTTGGAGAAGTGTCTTAGGTCCTTGGCCCATTTTTTAATTGGACTGTTTTCTTTTTTAAGTTGTATGAGTTCCTTATATATTTTGGAAATTAACCCCTTATCAGATGTATCAATGGCAAATATGTTCTCCCATACAGTGGGATCCCTTTTCATTTTTTTGATGGTTTCTTTTACTGCACAGCTTTTTATTTTGATGTAGTCCCATTTGTTTATTTTCTTGTTTCCCTTGCCCTAGGAGATGTATTGGCAAACGTATTGCTATGAGAGATGTTCGAGGTTTGGCTGCCAGTGGTTTCTTCTAGGATTTTTATGATTTCACGACTTACATTTAAGTCCTTTATGCATTTTGAGTTTATTCTTGTGTATAGTGTAAGTTGGTGGACTAGTTTCATTTTTTTGCATGTACCTGTCCAATTTTACCAGCATTGTTTATTGAAGAGACTTGTTACTCCAGTGTATACTCTTGCTCCCTTTGTCAAGTATTATTTGAGTGTAAAGGCTTGGTCCATTTCTGAGTTCTTTGTTTTCCATTGATCTATATGCCTATTCTTGTGTCAGTAGAAGGCTCTTTTGACTATGATGGCTTTGTAGTATAACTTGATATCTGGTATTATGATACCTCCAAATTTGTTCTTTCTCAAGTCTGCTGTGGCTATTCAGGGTTCCATATAAATTTCTGGGGTGCTTGTTCTAGATCTGTGAAATATGCTGTTGATATTTTTACAGAGATTGCATTGAATTTATAGATTGCTTAGGATAGTATGGATATTTCAATTCTACCAATCTATGAACAGTGTATTTTTACATTTGTTTCTATCTTCTTATCTCTTTTTTTCAAAAGCTGTAGTTTACCAAATATATGCCTTTTACCTCCTTGGTAAAATTTATTCTTAAGTACCTTAATTTTTTTTGTTGCAATGGTAAGAGGGTGTTTTTTGTTTTGTTTTTTTTAAGTTTCTCTTTCTGAGAGTTCATTATTGGTGTATAAAGAAATGCCATGGATTTCTGGGTGTTAATTTTGTATCCTGCTACATTGCCAAATTTATCTATTAAATCAAGTTTTTTGTTGGAGTCATTAGGGTTTTCTATGAACAATATCATAACATCCATGAATGAGTTTTACTTCCTGCTTTCCAATTTGGATGGCTTTTAATTTTTTCTTATTGTGTGATTGCTGGGGCTAAGACTTCCAGTTCTATGTTGAGAAAGAGTGGTGAAAGCAGACATCCCTGTCTTGTTTTTGTTCTTAAGGGAAATGATTTTAATTTTTGCTCATTGAGTATGATGTTCGTTGTAGGTTTGTTACATATGGCCTTTATTATGTTGAGGTATGATCCTTCTATTCCCACTTTGCTGATAATTTTTATATAAAATGTGTTGGGTTTTGTGGAATGCTTTTTTGCATCTAATTCTATGATCATGTGATTTTTTCTATCAATTCATGTAATTCTAGAGGTCTAGTGCATGAAATTAGTGCACAGATAGGGTCCTTAGGCCTGGCCAGTGATCAGGACCGATCTGTGGGGCAATAGGGGGCCCCCACCTTGGCTGGCCTGGGGCCTGTGGGCAGCTCCTGCGTTGAGCATCTGTCCCCTGGTGGTCAGTGCGCATCATAGTGACTGGTCATTCCACATGTCGTTCTGCCATTCAGGTGATTTGCATATTAGGCTTTTATTATATAGGATAGCACATTGATGGCTTTGTGAATACTATACCAGCATTGCATCCCTGGAATAAGTCTCACTTGATCATGGTGTATGGTCTTTTTAATATATTGCTGGATCTGATTTGCTAATATTTTGTTGAGGGTTTTAGCATCTTTTCATCAAGGATATCAACTAATTTTCTTTGTAGTGTCTTTATCTGGGATAATTCCAAAGTCTCATATGAAAGCTCTTGGAAGTATTGTGTTGTCCCAAAGCTCCCTTAAATTATCCTTTTTATTTATTTTTTTCTAATTGCTACTCTGGATATTTTTTCCACCGTGTCTCTAATTTGCCTATTTGGTTCTCAGTTTCTTCCCAGGTATTCCTTCTTCTAGCTACGTCACTGTTCATTTCAAATTGAGTCTTATTCATGGCTTCTACATACTTTTTCATGCTTATGAATTTCCTGCTGAGTTCCTTATAGTTCTCATTAAGTTGCTTGAAGTTTTAATTTGTGAGCCCCATCAAAGTCAGTGGGATAGTTGTCAGGGGCACAGGTTCAGGCTCACTGGGTAGCATCAGGCTATTACTTTGACCTCTGTATCTGATAAATTGTTTGCCTCCATTTCATTTAGTTCCTTGTGTTGATTCCTCCTTTTCTTGGGGATTATTTCTTTGTCTCCCCATTTAGTAGGTCCAGTCTTCTAGTGTACCAGATCAGGCATGTTAGGTCACAGCGGCAGGTCCACCAGGGGTGTTGGGGCACAGCAGGGTTGGGTCTTCCAGGGGCACCAGGTAATGACAGTGTGGCCTGGTGCAAGGATGTAAGGCTGGTTGTCCAAGGGGCACTGGGTCAGGCATGCTGGGTCGTGATGGCCAGCTGGTGCATCCAGGAGAGTCAGATCATGGTGGTGGGGCCAGGTGAGCCCCATCAAAGTCAGTGGGATAGTTGTAAGGGGCCCAGGTTCAGGCTTGCTGGGTAGCATCAGGCTTGTACATCCTGGGATGCTGGGCTGCAAATGTGGGGCCACACGCACTTGTCTGTGGCCTCAGGGTGTTGGGCCATGGCCGATCCCCAGACTCTGTGGATTCTCCAAAATCTGAAGCAGGAAATTTTCATTCCATCAAGCTATGTTGATTATAGAATTGAAAAAAAGGCAAATATAATTCCTTCTCCAAACTCTTTTGCAAACTGAGATTTGTTTTTGATATTGTAAAATATTTCTATTCAAGAAAATTCAGCAACAGGAATTTCATGAAATAACAATTAAGTAGCCTTACTCAGTCTCAAATGACTACTTAGACAGTTTTATGGTTTCAGTGCTCAAACAGTAGTTTTTAGAAGCAAACATCAGAAAAGATACAAATAAATTTGACTCTGAAATCATTTGTAGTATTGACCTGATATATTGTGTGGGCATGTAGTGTTGTAAGTGGTAAAATTTAAGAAGTTTAATCTAAATGTGTTTACATTTTCCCCTAAAATAAGGAAGACACTTTAATAAGAAAAAAAAGAAAAGTAACAGCAGCTAAGTAATTTGAGATTAAAACCACACATAAAGAAACAAGTACAAAAAGCATAATTCTATGATACAGTTAGATTGGCACAGTGAAGACTAAATGCAAGACACAAAAGACAAATTGTGTAATAAATAGGGCCATAGTTGTAAACTGTCATTTTTCCCTCCTAAGAAGCCAAAATTGCACTCTAAGTTTTGTTGGGAAGCAGCAGAGTTTACAAGAAAAGTAGGCAGAAAACAGCTGTACAGGCCAGGTATAATTTATACATTTAAAATAGCTGTAATTCTATAATTCCCAGGGGTAAATTTTATAGTTACTGAATGACTCTGCTTGATATTATGTCTTCTTCATACTTCAATTACTCACAACACCTGAAAATGGGAGAAAACAAAAGAAATATTTTCATTCGCATAAAACTTGTGTTTGAGATAATCATGAAAGAAACAAAGTAGATAAAATATACGAATAGTTTAAAAACACTTTGGCCAATAGCTATGACCACATTCCACAACGTTTTAAAAAAATGGCAACTTTAAATGATTTGATTTCTTCTCTTTTAATTTATTTCAAAAGTAGAGCTACTTACGAGCAGTACAATGTTTAAAAAGAGGTCACCCCACTCTTCATTTGTTTTTATTCTTCCTAAGAGAGCTATGCGTGAGCTGATGCATGAATTACATATTTTTTAAAAAGAAGATGGAAAGGTGTAGACAGTGTCAGTGACCTTCTTAAGCTAAGGACCTTTAACAAGAAATGTTATATACATGGAAGCTATTAAAAAAAAAAAAGAGGAGAAGGATAGGGATACGGTCCATACTACTTACCTATGTGTTTAAAAGAAAAACTCAACTTTCAAAGTATTATATAAGGTAGAAGACCAGCCATAAAAAATTGGGTGGTAAAAGTATCAGTAATATTAATACATTGCCATAATTCCCTAAAAGAAATCCAGTGTTTTAAAATGTTTTTCTTGATAATTAAAACATTAAAAAATTTCTCTACAAAAGTTTTTAATTTCCCAGTCATTTATCACTTAAGTAAATCCTATGTTCCCCAATCATGGTTTAAGAGTTAGAAAAAAAAAATAAGAACTATTATTTTTGGACTAGCAATGAGACAAGCCTGTAAACTTTATACTTTTATAATTACTTCACATTAGCTATCTCACTCATATGTTAAACTGCCTTATTAGCACTCTATTTCAAGCTAAAACCTAGCTATATTTAACAAAGGCCATGGTCTATCTTCTCTGCTAATGAGATTAGAGTTCAAAGTTTACAGATGAATTTTAATCTGAGCACAATATCAAAAAAAGGATAAACTTTCATCTATATTTGTGCTTTAAAAGGCTCCTTGCCCACCTCCCACTTCTAGAAAAGTACCTGTAATTACACTTTAACTTGTCTAATTCTTAAGAATGACTTCCATTTTACTAATAAAGGAGCTCAAATATAGCAGGACCTTGAATAACATTTTTTCAACACTGTTTCATTATAATGTTGCTAAGATGCTATATGAACTTAACTCTTGTTGTGTTTTTTAAAATATGTTTTTATTGATTTTTAGAGAGGCAGGGAGAGAGGTAGAAACATTGATGAGAGAGAAACATAGACCAGGTGCCTCCTGCATGGCAATTTTTAAAGCAGGCAATCACTCTTTAGTCAGGGGCACTGAACTCTTTTCCCTTACATTATCAAACTAATAAATGACAACAACCAAAACAGCAATAGCCATCTGGTGTGAACGAATCAAAATTATACCTTTTTTTTTTAATCAGATTGGCAAAAAATAGATTCTTTGGTGTGCCAAAGAATTTTAGTAATTAGTTTAATGTGTGCCATGGGATGAAAGAAATTGAAAATCACTGGTTTGTCTAGAGAATTTTAAAAAATTGAGGTATCTGAATATAGATTGGTGTTAGATAATATTAAAAATATTTTTAGTTGCTAGATGATTAACAATATTTTGGTGATAATATTGTGGCTATGAA